AAGTCAGGTTATGGGTCTGTCTGTACTTCCTAATATGAATTACATGTTTTAACTACGAAAGATCCTTAGTTAGGATTTTTAGGGCAAATGAAACTAGGGTCAACAAAATAGGGCAAAATTAACCACTCAATTCAGCTGGCCTGAAATTTTATAGAAATACTGGAATTAACACAAACCCTCCAGCAGAGATGCTGTTACAAAGAAAAGACACAGGCAGCAGGTCCGTCCTGTGCTGTCTTCCTCTACAAAAATGTGGGGGTAAGATGTCAAAGCTTTGTACAGAGGAAAAATTCAGTATGGGAAACCCTATTTTCCTTCAATTCACATTTTGGCTAAACTGACAGTTTGAGACTTACACAAAGCATATTCCTTATTTTCGACAAAATTCCAGTTTACGTAAACTATACATTTCTAGAGCGCCTGAGGGAGAAAATGCCTTTCCAAATCGCCCCCTGGCTTGCCCAAAGGTTCCCAGCTACTGCAACTGTCTACGCACATCCTCCCTTCCACTTTCGGCACCGCGTCCCATTCCAGGACAAGGCAGAACAGACAGACAGAAGAGGTCCTCTCAGGTTTTTATGCTGAAATGGTCCTCGCAGGTCCTACATCAGCAGGGGGTACGGCTCTCCTTACCACACCAAGAGAGAACAGAACACAAGGGAGGTGTCTACCTTAGGACCTGGGAAGAAACAGAACAAATGTTCCTGGAGGGGCAAAAACTTTTCCCACCCAATGGTTCCCAGTTAGAATAAGTGGGACCCGTCTTTGTGACGTTGGTTCTGTACAGAATTACGCTGGGCACTTCAGAGAAGGGCTTACAGCACCTTTCAAGCTGTGTTGGGAACAATAATAAAAAACAAAAATGGCGCCTACTAACTGAGGTATATACTATCATATTATATAACTTCACATACATTAATTGCTTCTGATCTTCACAAGAACCCTGGGAGGTGGGTGGTAATTCCATTTTGTAGATAGCAACTGAGGCTCAGAGATGTTAGATTTGCCAAGGCCACAGAGGCAGAAAGGAGGGTCATCTTCTAAACCCGGATCTTCTGACTCCATGACCCATGATAAGCAGTGTCACAGGTATTAGTCAACTAATGAAACGCCACAGTTCCTAACTAACTCATTTCTCTGACAGTAAGACTGTGAGGGTGCAATCGCCTAGGGTAAGGGACAAGATCACCAACAAGTACAGACAGGATGGGACTCAAGAACACCCTGTCTGACCTGGAGCATAGGGTCAGCAACCACCAATCCTGGACATGGGCACCGGGATCTGTCAGTCAATGAGCACATCCCAGGCCTGGCTGGCAGTGAGGGAGCAGCAGAAGCAGGCACTGGGAACCTTGGAGGTGGGGGGGGACAGTGGAATCAGTACTTTGTCTTAGGCTTAAAATGGCCAAACATTTGATACTGAATTCAGTGTTTTCCTCATCCATAGTCCTAGGCTAAGCTTCTGAGCAGAGGTCCTTGCTTAACCAGTCAAGTTCATCAGTATTAGGCCATATCATCCTTTCCCCAGGCATGACTGTTAAAGAGCCTCTCAGGTTCTTGCTGATAAAAATTCTAAAAAGACCAAGAGGAAATAAGCCAAATGCCTATTCATTTCATCTAGTGAATACTGAGAGTGTAAGAAACACACGCTCACACATACACACACACACTAGCTTACTGGCCTATGGCTAAATCCCACAGTGGTACCTAAATTCCAAAAAACAACAAATTCTGTTCGGTGGTGAAGGCAGAATGTTACGTCTGCAGGCCTCCCCTTGGCAATCACATTTTAGATTTCACTTTTAAGTTAGCTGTTTGAAACTTAAAATACACCTGGAGATTTTAAGACCCATCAACAGCAGTTTCCAGTCTAGTCTCTGAAAGCCTACTTAGTCCACAATGCATGAAAAGATGGTAGTATTCCAGCTGTCCTAGTCACATTTCAATGGGGAAAGTCAAGATTCCAAGGGGTTAAGATGCAACCTATGAAGCTATCCGCAGCCACTGCAGCACAAGTTCAATTCCCGGCCAGGGAAATACCCACATGGCGCAGCAGACCTCTCCTGACTCGCCCGCTGCTCCCTTCAGCAGGGTATTTCAGTCAATCTGCCTGTTCTGTTCCCCACTCTGTCTCTGGTAAATCCTCTCACCCCCCACACCTCTGGCCTGTACCCCAGTTCTTATAAGCATAAATAAATAAATCTTTAAAAAAAAAAAAGATTCCACGCCACAACAATAAGAAAGATTTCCCCTTGTCTGCTCAAGTGGTCCATGTTGGTTCCAGGAAAGCAGAAGGGACAGGGTCACAAACCCCTATTTTCATGGTTGGTTCATCCTTCTCTAGTCCGGACCTGGGGGCCAAGGGATTGGAGGGCAAACGGCCACCAGGTCCAGCTCTGTCTCCTTCAGAGTGTGCAGACATGGCTTTAAGAAGAGCTCAGTCATGGTCAGGTTAAAATAAAGGTCTTTGGCCTTAGTTTTCAAAACAACCTTGCCTGGAATTCTAAATAAAGCTAAAACCATTGATATTATTATAGGATAATAGCTGTAACGTCTGGAGCTAATATTTTCCACACTTCTAAGAGAAGGTAAAGAGTCCCTGTTTTCTTGCCCAGTCTCTGCAAAGCAGTGACCAGGCACACTGGGAGCTGAACAACAGGGTTCTTTACATAAAACAAACCAAAAGCAAACCCTGTACATTTTTACACACACAAATCTGTATCTATGCACACACAGACAGCTGTCTGGAATGGCAAACACCATTTAAATCCTCTCTTCTGGGGAAAGGAATGGCACGTTTTAAGTGTTGCTTGCATTTCTTGTGAGACATACGTATTTTTTTTTTTTTTAAGAGGCACGTATTTTATTTATTTATTTATTTGTTTATTTGTTTGTTTTGTTTATACATGCACTGGGTACAGTCAGAAGCGCGGGAGGGTGAGAGAATTCACCAGAGCCAGAGCGGGGAGCAGAGCAGGCAGAAGGACCGTAGCACACTGCTGAGGGGAGCAGCGGGCGGCAGGAGAGGTCTGCGCGCCATGTGGGACCCTCCTCCGGTGGCCGGGGAGCAGCCGGGGATTGAACCAGCGCCGTGGAGGTCGCGGGGAGCTTCGCAACCCAGCGCTCAACCGCTGCGCCACCGGGGAGGCCCGAGACATACGTATTTTTAAAATATGCTTTCTCTGTGTAATTATGAAAATACTTCCAACAACTTCTGACAATCTATTTCATGAACACCTCAAAGTGGTATGTCCCCGAAAATAAAATGAGATCACAGAAATAATCAGAAATTGTAAATCTCCTTGCGTAGATTCAAAACAGGATAGTCAGAGGTTATTATAAATTTATATCAGTAGGTTCAGCAAACCAGAACCCCTGGACCAAATGCAGTCTGGCAGACAGAGCTACAAGGTGATGCTGATCTAAACAGATCTAAATTAAAAAAAAAAAAAAAAAAAGTGACAGAGACCACCTGTAGACCACAAAACCTAAACGAACGTTTTTCCCTTTAGAAAAAAGTTTGATGATCCCGATTTATACCAAGAATATTGTGCCTTTTCAAAAATGGTTTTAAATTTCTCTTGGAATTGTCTTCAAAATCACTTTTAAACAATAAAAATTAGTCAGATTACTTAGTAGCCTGCTTCTTGCAGCCTCTTCCTCTAAACCCACAGCAGAGTAAGTTAGCATAGTCAGCCATCTCAATCATTAGAATAGGTACAGAAGATTGGTGATTTCCTAAAATCAAATTCAGCCCCATGATGGGAAACTGATCTCTGATGTGCTACTAAAATGTACAAGGACACATGGGAAAAAATCAATCTCAGAAGAACTCTCCAATCAGCTAAAAGTATTTTATCCAGCAGTGACACTAACATAACAGATCACAGTTTAAATACCATTTCCAAAATGAAAGAAAAAGGTTTTTACTTTGAATGAAACTTCTATTCTAATCTCACATTCTAATCTAGGCGCCTGACAGAGGAGAATAGTTCATTTTGACTATCAATGACCCCAAGAAAAACACTGAATAGAGACTCCCCGGTAGCGCAGCGGGTTGAGCGCAGCTCTGTGAAGCTCTCTGCAGCCTCTGCAGCACAGTTCGATCCTGGCCGGCTGGCGAGAATCCCACATGGCACGGCAGACCTCTCCTGTCTCCCCCGCTGCTCCCCTCAGCAGTGTATTTCAGTCCTTCTGCCTGTTCTGCTTCCTGCTCTATCTCTGGTGGATTCTCTCAGTGCTTGCATAAATAAACAAATCTTTAAAAAAAAGAAAAACACTAAATAAAAACGTAAACAGCTTTGAATTTGGAACTGGAAAATTCATTTACCCTGTAAACATGTGTGAAACTACACTGAACTGATGCATCTATTTAATGACCGTTCACAGATAAAGCTCATACCGTATCTAGACTTCTCAATCCCCTGCGATGTCCTTTTCTTAGTCTATTATTGGAAATTACGTTCCAATTTGAAAATTTAAAGGACAACATAAACTATAGGCTGGTTTGTTTAGTAATCTTGTCACCTATTTAATATGAGATAAAAGCAATTCAGAAGCTACCACGCCCAAATTTCTTACAAGGGGAGAGTAACATTAAAAAAAGAGGACAAAGGGCCTCCCTGGTGGTGCAAGGGGTTTAGCACAGCGCTGTGAAGCTATCTGCTGTCTGTGCAGCACGAGTTCGATACCCGGCCGGCCAGGGAGCTACCCACATGGTGCAGCAGACCTCTCCTGTCTCACCCACTGCTCCCCTCAGCAGTGTATTTCAGTCAGTCTGCCTGTTCTGGTCCCCACTGTTTCAGTGAATTCTTTCATCCCCCCGCACCTCTGGCCTGTACCCTAGTTCTTGCATGCATAAATAAATAAATCTTAAAAAAAAAAAAAAAAAGAGGACGAAGACCATCATGACAGGGATACTTGGGAAAAACTAAGGCAACATTTCCACTTACCTCTGGAAGACCTTTTCCCACCCAAGTATGACAGAGAAGATAGCCTACCTCAATGTCCTGGAGACTGAATTCCTTCTGATCTGTGAAGTTTGCAGCCCCGGCACTAAGTTCCATCAGCATTTTGGCAATCTCGGGCTTTATGGCCGACGTCAGTCGACTGGCTGCTTCCATGACGTGCTCCTGCACATCTTTGAGCTGCATGGCTGCCTTCGAGTAGTGAGAGTTCCTGAACACAGTGCTGAAGAGATCCGTGAGGAAAGTACTGGCACGGCAGAAGACATTGAGGGCGTCCAGGTATTTGGAGATGCCCTGCTGGATGTCGGCGATGGGAGTGGAGTGAGGCATGGCATGGTGGCAGCTGCCTGCGGCAGTAAGACTGCCCAGGGGGGCGGTGGTGGCCGTAGATGCCAGAGGGGCACTCAGTGCTCGGCCCAGCTCAGGCATCGTGTACTGCTGGTGCTGCTGCACCTTCTGCTTGGACCCGCCAAGCAGGAAGCGCCGCTTATAGTCCATCTTACTGTCCTGGGCACTGCAGCAATACATGCGGGAGGGGGAGGTGTCCCAGTGACCGTGAGCTGGTCAGGGGGTGGATTCTCTTTTTTCCCCCCAAAACTGTAGCTAGGTATAAAAATAGTGGAGTTCTGCAAATCTAAGTTTTAAAAAAGGCATTTTCATGAGGCAGGTGACCATGGGATCCAATGTAGAGGTGAGAAGGACAAGGGTTTATATAATGAGTATTTTCGGGTCGGGAAGCCCTCCAACAAAAAATAAAAGTGTGTCCAAAATGCTACATAAGAACTGTTAGCATTTCACTCTCTCAATAGAAAGATATGCTTGCTGAGAAAAATGTTTACCTATAATTGCTTTGCAAGAATATTTTTGATACTTGTATTTACAATGGCAGAAAAATAACTTAACTTTAAAAAATGTAATATAATGTATCTTCAATATACAGAAAAGTTAGAACTCAAAAACCCACCAGCTGATCAACAGCAATTTAAAAAGCAGTACAGAAGTGTTCACACTAAGTCCTGGAGAGGGAAGCGCAAACCTCTGCAGAATTGACAGAGCCTGCCTGCCAAATCCATTCACCTGTGACGCTGCTTCTCAATGCAAAAAATTTCCAAATTTCCTTGAATATTTTTTGAAGACGATTTTTTTTAAAAATGGCATGTTATAAATTATAAGTCTTCTCCTCCTCTCCTTCTATTTGCTGAGGTAGCGGTTTCCTTGTAACATTAATCAGAGATGCTTCCAGACTGGGCTGGCCCACAATCGTAAAGTCTGAAGCAAGAATGCACAGAAGTATTTGTAAGGCCTCTAAGTCATTTCCTGTAAGGGGGGAAAATAAGATTGTTAGGAAAGTTACAGTACAATGAGTAATTTTGGAACATTCACTACCTCAATGTTACTACCTACAAAGGTGGGTTACAGATGAAGTAAATCTCCTAACTTTACAAAAACGAGTACAATAGTGAGCACTGAACTATGACATGAGGACTGCTAGAAGACCCCTCAAGCTTTATCCAAAAATAATGCAATAGGGCTTCCCTGGTGGCGCAAGGGGTTAAGTCTCAGCACTATGAAGCTATCAGCAGCCACTGCAGCACAAGTTCGATCCCCAGCCAGGGAGCTACCCACATAGCACAGCAGACCTCTCCTGTCTCACCCACTGCTTCCCTCAGCAGTGTATTTCAGTAGATTTGCCTGTTCTACTCTTCACTCTGTCGCTGGTGAATCCTCTCACTCCCTAGCACCTCTGGCCTATACCCCAGCTCTTGTATGCATAAATAAATAAAATAAATCTTTAAAAAAAAAAAAACCTACAAAAATAGGGCCTCCCTGGTGGCGCAGTGGGTTGAGCGTTGTGCTGTGAAGCTGTCCACAGCCTCTGCAGCACGAGTTCGATTCCTGGCCAGCCAGGGAGATTCCCACATGGTGTGGCAGACCTCTCCTGCCTCGCCCGCTGCTCCCCTCAGCAGTGTCTTCGGTCCATCTGCCTGTTCTGCTCCACACTCTGTCTCTGGTGAATTCTCTCGCCCTCCATCGCCTCTGACCTATGCCCCAGTTCTTGTATAAATAAATAAATCTTTTTTTTTTTTTTATAGGGGCATGTTTTCTTTCTTTCTTTATTTGTTTGTTTGTTTGTTTTGTTTATACATGCACTGGGTATAGTCAGAAGCACGGGAGGGTGAGAGAATTCACCAGAGCCAGAGCGGGGAGCAGAGCAGGCAGAAGGACCGAAGTACACTGCTGAGGGGAGCAGCGGGCGGCAGGAGAGGTCTGCGCGCCATGTGGGACCCTCCTCCGGTGGCCGGGGAGCAGCCGGGGATCGAACCGGTGCCGCAGAGGCCGCGGGCAGCTTTGCAACCCAGCGCTCAACCGCTGCGCCAACGGGGAGGCCCAATAAATAAATCTTAAAAAAAAAAAAAATCCATCCAAAAATGTCAGATTCCACACTAGTCCCAAAGCCTGCGACATACTGCACAGGGCCTGAATTCGGATTTGTATTCAGCACCCTCTCTTTCCTCCTCAAAGAGTACCCAGATTACCGTGAGGACTACTGACCGGGACAGCATTCACAAAACTTTGGGGGGTTGAAAATGGCAGAGAAGAGCAAAGACTGAGGAAAACCAGGAAGGTTGTTATGATGAAATGTTACTCTAAGGCTGGCCTTGACTGCAGGATGGGGTGTGACAAGGGAAGGGACCACACAGCAAAGACCCTAAAGCAGGGTGGCATGGCGGCCTGCTCAGGACACCCCACTTGTAGACATAGTGCACAGAGGACAGCAGAGAAGGGGGAGTGGCTGGCTGGAGATTCCTGGATGGACTATTCTCAGCCTCACCTGGTACCAATGTCCCCTCTGGCTGTTCAGAGGGAAGCCTAATGGGGTGTACGGTGCTTGGACCTTGGGGTAGCTTCTGCAAAAGCTCTAGCTCTGGGTAGGTTCAAATGGCAGTGTCTGGACATCTCCAGCGTCGTTTCTGATACTGGCAACAGTGGAACAGTAGGATTCCTCTCACACAGCTACCTTCAGGGTTCTCCCTGGCCTGAACTCTCTGCTGTTTCTTCTCCCGCCCACAATGAGATTTCGAATAAAAATTCACTGATTATATTTAATATACACAATACCAAACCTCAACATGTTTGTATATAGTTGGGTCTGCTTATTGATAACTAGTTTTCTTTTTAATTTTCTTTTTTTGTACAGAAAAGTAAGTGAAAGTCAAACTTAGTCATTCACCCTGGTCAGTTACCAGACCTATTTTATGGTTCGACCATTACATGAGGAAATGAGGAACACAGTGAGGTTACAAGAGCAAGCGATGAAGAAGAATGCTGTGGATACACACACACACTCTAAAACTGAAGCAATCCTAACTCAGGTAGTACCTAAATTCAACCACCATTTGTAGCTCTGTATCCAAAAGTATCTTGATGCTTAAAATACCTCAGACTTTTCAAGAAACAATCTATTAAACGGCTACTTATAAGAAATTTGTTCCCAAATGTCCTTTTTCTTTTTTTTCCCCAAATTCATGATAATAAGGCAATCATATCTATCCCTACTTACATGGTGCATTATAATCAACACGGCTTTAACTAATTCCAAAGCACGACAGAAGCACCCAGCAGAGTGCTGAGGAAGGGAGGCTGTGCAGGGAGACACTGTGGTCGGGAAGAAACATTATCGCCTGGAGCCGGGAGCTGTAAGCATCATGAGCGGTCCCGAAGCTCATGGTTATTCTGCTTGCTTAGGTTTTTATCTTCGTGAACTGTGGCTCTCTTAATTATGTGCACCTGAAGTTGGATTAGGTCTGAATCTTAAAGTTTGCCAAGATTTTTCATCTAGGATTTTGTTATAAACTCCGCCAGCCATGTTGGCACACGCATTTCCGAGTAGGACACTACACACACTCTTGGTCCTGCTGTTTAATCATAAAGGAGGAAATAGATCAGCCAGAGGTCTTGGGATTTTGGGAGTCTCTGCCTTGCTGCCTTCCAGGTTCCCCTTCTCCAAAGTTTTCTATCTCAACTTCACTCCTCTGTGCGAGTTAACTCTTTTGTTTCTTCCTTTTTTACTGAAGAATATCCATAGGGAGCCTCCCTAGTGGCGCAAGGGGTTAAGTACAGCACTGCAAGGCTCTCCGCAGCCACTGTAGCATGAGTTCAATCCTCAGCTGGCCAGGGAGCTACCCACTTGGTGCAACAGACCTCTCCTGACTCATCTGCTGCTCCCCTCAGCAACGTATTTCAGTAGATCTGCCTATTCTGCTCCCCACTTTGTCTCTGGTGAATCCTCTCACCCTCCCAGCACCTCTGGCCTATATCCCAATTCTTGTATGCATAAATAAACAAATCTTTTTTAAAATACACATAGGTAAATATTTTATACTCCAATGCCTGATTCATTAACACCAAGTGAACAGGTAATCACCACCCAGGCTAGTGAGTGGCCACACAGGGCTGAATGTCAAATCAGTAAGCGGTAGGTCATTATCCAGATGTAGTTACCAGACCTTTGTTCATCAAGTCAAGACAGACATTCCTGGAGGCCAGTAGTATGTATTTTCTCCTATTTATCTCTTGCTTTATTGATACATAATTCACACATCATAAAATTCACCATTTTAAAGTGTGAGATTCAGTGGATTTTAACAGGAGATGTTTCAATACTACCTAATTTCAGAACAACCTCATCACTTCAAAAAGAAACTTTTAATTAACAGACACTTCCCATTCCTTCTCTTCCTAACTCCTGGCAACCACAGTCTACTCTGTCTCTATGGACTTGCGTTACCTGAGCATTTCATGTCAGTGAAATCTCACAGTCTTCTGCATCTGGCTTCTTTCATATACCATAGTGCTTTCCAGGTTCACCTACACCATGCAGCATTTATTAGTACTTTATTCCTTTTCATGCCTGAGTAATACTCTATCATGTGGTTAAGGCATGTTTTCTTTATTAATTCATCAGTTGATAAACATTTGGGATCTTTCCACTTTATGTGGAAAGACTGGGATTTTGGGAGTCTCTGTGTTGCTCCCTTTATGCGGCTATCAACTTTCAAGTATAAGTTTTTATATTAATTTATACTGTTAATGTTCCTGGACATATGCCTAAGAGTGGAACTGGAATTCCTGGGTCATACAGCAATTCTAGGTTTAAGATTTTGGGGAACTGCCAAGCTGCTTTCGCAGTGGTGGCACCATTTACATTCATTCACACCAGCTATGTATGTATGGAAAGTGTATCTCAATAAAGCTCAAAAAAATGACTTCATCTTTCTTTGCTCTTTTCCTTAAGTAACTTCCATCTAACAGCAAAAGGTATATAATAAACAATTTTCCAGGAAAGTCGTTAATGTCAGAATTAGTTACCTTTCATACTTCAATTAGAAATCTGTATTTAAGTGCTGCTATTCAGAAACTGGAAATGCGAATGCCCAAAAGACTCTTTTTACCACCCCCACCACCCCCGCAAAAGACTCTTAAAAGACCATTTAGTCCTTCAATTTACAGATGAGGGGAAAAACCCAGGATATGAAATGTCTTGATTAGACCACACGGTATCTGAATTGTCAGAACTCGATTTCTATATAAATGCTCTGTTCGTAACCATCCAGACTGGTGGAGAGACTATGCTATGCTGCACCAACAGAGCCTGCATGAGGAGACTAATCTAACAAAGACCTTGCGCTCACAGAAGTTCAATGTGGGTTTGGTGGCCCTTTCTCAGTTGACAGGGACATTATCGGAACTTGTGTTTTCCACAGTCTCTCAGCACAGGAAGGTCAAACCTGCTCTTTCCTGCTTCCCATGAGATGTGACACACATCAATTTCCCTCTCAGCTATTTGGCAAGAATTAGTCATATGGTGGCAATTTAACTACAAGAGAGGGTGGGAATGTAGGGGTACAAATACTGGGGAAGCTTTACAGTTAGCCACAGCTACCCACCCAGACCGAGAGCAGCACATGGCTCTGGCCAGATGATACAAGTAACTCCGACTCCACACAGGAGAAACTGTTCAGTAAGGCAGAGCCCACAGTCACATTCCAGGGGCCAGGTGACTCTCGGAGAGGCTGCTCTAGGACAAGGGTCTCTGTGTGCACGTATGGACAGTGGGGGAGTGGAAGATGGAGGGGAGGGGAAAGGTCAAAGATTCCTTTGAGAAACTGATGAAAGAACATTCTTGGGCCTCCCTGGTGGTGCAAGGGGTTAAGACACAGCCTATGAAGCTGTCTGCAGCCACCACAGCATGAATTTGACCCCCCACCAGGGAACTACCCACATGGCGCAGCAGACCTCTCCTGACTCGCTCGATGCTCCCCTCAGCAGTGTACTTTGGTAGATCTGCCTGTTCTGCTCCCTGCTCTGCCTCTGGTGAATCCTCTTTTTTTTTGTTTTTTTAAAGATTTATTTTTTATTTATACAAGAGCTGGGGTACAGGTCAGATGCGCAGAAGGGTGAGAGGATTCACCAGAGATAGAGCAGGGAAAAGAACAGGCAGACCTACCGAAACACACTGCTGAGGGAAGCAGCGGGCGAGACAGGAGAGGTCTGCTGCACCATGTGGGTTGCTCCGAGGCCGGCGGGGATCCAACCCACACTGCAGAGGCTGTCTGCACTGCGGACAGCTTCACAGTGCTGTGCTCAACCGCCTGCGCCACCAGTGACATCCTGGTGAATCCTCTTATCCCTCACATCTCTGGCAAACACCCCACTTCTTACATACATAAATAAATCTTAAAAAAAAAAAAAAGACTAGTGTTTTAAAAAAAAAACTAGTTAGTGTTGCATTAAAGGAAATATGGAATTGAAATACCATTCAAACTCCATCATTTTCGGGCCTCCCCGGTGGCGCAGCGGTTGAGCGCTGGGTTGCGAAGCTGCCCGCAGCCTCTGCGGCGCCGGTTCAATTCCCGGCTGCTCCCCGGCCACCGGAGGAGGGTCCCACATGGTGCGCAGACCTCTCCTGCCGCCCGCTGCTCCCCTCAGCAGTGTACTTCGGTCCTTCTGCCTGCTCTGCTCCCTGCTCTGGCTCTGGTGAATTCTCTCACCCTCCCGCGCTTCTGACTGTACCCAGTGCATGTATAAACGAAACAAACGAACAAATAAATAAATAAATAAAAACATGAAAAAAAAAAAAAAAAAAAAAAACTCCATCATTTTCAAGTGGGATTTTGCCAAGAACACTATTGGAACATGAAGTTCACCATATCACTTGTTCTACTTTTGTATATGATTGACGATTTCTGTGATTAAAAGTTTTAAAATTCACACAAACACGTGCAGAAGCATCCGGTTATATCCCTTTTATTATTTTTTTAAATAATATCTTTTCAATGCCTATCTTACTGATTTTTAAGTGCTCTCCCACCTCCATATTTATCTGCCTAAAGGGTTCAAATATGTTCAATCAATTTAAGGACATTTCTTCTCTGTATTTTCCTAAAAAGAATTTTAATTGGGGAAAATATTCACCATTTATGAATCCACTATTCATGCTACATGGAAATAAACATGCATTGTGAAAGACCTCAGATGTTAGTTGTAGCCAAGAGTGGTAAGACTTAAGTGCTATAATCATAAGTTTTCATGCTGCCTAAGTTTCATAAAAGCATAGCAAAAAAAGGCATGCTAGCATATCAGTTACATCTTTTCAACACATTAATTACAAAAGTTCTCAATAAATTAAACTTGAACTCAGGCCTGATGACATCATTTAAACATTCCTTTCTGCAATCAAAGTCATCAGCAATTTCTACTTCAAATAGTACAAAGAACAGGTTTGAAACTAGATAAAATGTAAGTATAAAAAGGATTTCCTTATACCCAAAAGTGACAATACAGAAAAGTCATCCTGAGGAAATCTGAAGGGCTTCCCTTTTGAGAATGTAATGTATGACAGGGTGGCCTTGGGGACCAACTAACTGGGTAAGATGGCTCTGCCACTTACCATCTATGTGACCTTGGGGAAGTTCTTTAACCTCTGTGCCTCAGTTTCATCGTCTGTAAAATAGGGATAATAACAGTAACTACTGGGGCTCCCTAGTGGCGCAAGGGATTAAGCACCGCACTATGAAGCAATCCATAGCCTCTGCAGCTTAGGTTCGATCCCCAGCCAGCCAGGGAGAAACCCACATGGCGCAGTAGACCTCTCCTGTCTCACCCGCTGCTCCCCTCAGCAATGTACTTCAGTCAATCTGCTTGTCTTGTTCTCCACTCTGTCTCTGGTGAGTCCTCTCACCTCCCGCATCTCTGGCCTGTACCCCAGCTCTTGTATGCATAAATAAATCTTTGAAAAAAATAACAGTAACTACTTTTATTGAGTTAAATAAGTTTATACATATAAAACATTCAGAATAAAGTCTGGCACATATTACACACTAAAATTGTGATGATGTTATTATCATTCCCATACCATAAGCAAAGGTAAGCAGACCTTGTTATCTCTGCCTGTCCAGAAAAAAGTTACTTACACAGTAGAAAGATTTTGTCAAGTGACTTAATCCCTGAACTGACTGAAATCCAGGAATCCTAGGGTGAGGGACATCACTTATTACAGAGATGTGATAGCTCTGAGTGGTGAACTCAGGACAATTTTTACTTGTTTTGGTCATTAAGCTAACAGAGAAAATGAAGTGAAAGCAGTCCTGTTGTTAGCAATGATATGGGACAAAGCAGCTTCGCATGGAGAAGCCAGGCCAAAATTAACAGGCAATATGTGCTTACCTTCTTCCCACACTCCCCAATCCCAATGACACAACAGTGAAGACATTCACAAAGGAATCACTGCATAAAAATCATGAGGTGGTGGGCCTCCCTGGTGGCGCAGCGGGTTGAGCACAGCACTGTGAAGCTGTCTGCAGCCTCTGTAGCGTGGGTTCAATTTCCGGCCAGCCAGGGAGATTCCCACATGACGCCACAGACCTCTCCTATCTCTCCAGCTGCTTTCCTCAGCATGTATTTCATCAGTCTGCCTGTCCTGTTCCCTGCTCTGTCTCTGTTGAATTCTCTCACGCTCCTGCACCTCTGGCCTGTACCCCAGCTCTTTTATAAATAAATAAAATCTTGGGGGGAAGAAGCAAGTAAAAAAAAATCATGAGGAGGGCAGAGAGAAAAGTCCATTTAAATGCTGGCCGCTCTCTAGAAGACAGAGAGGAAACAGCAGGACAAGTTGAAAAGGAGAAGAGCTGGATACTTCCCAGAACATGCAGGGCCAAAGGTGCAGGGCAGAGAGGCAGAACCCTTTGACCTGTAAATACACAGCTCTGAGGTAGCAGGTACAGAAATCAGGAGTGGGAAGTAGGTTAATCAATCTGACCTTCAAAGTTCTCACTTTTGGTCACTGAGGCAGTCAACCTTACTACAGAAAAAGAACTACTGGAAAAAAGGAAGCGCTTGTAGATTGTCTATACAATCAACCCAGTTCTTCGCTGATAAGGAACACCAGAATGTGAATGAAAAGCCAAGAGGACAACAAAAGGCAGCTAACATAAAAAGAACATACCCAAGAAACATTTTAGACCCCAGAGAAACACCTGAAAAGAAATTCTAACTGGTATCCTCAGTGAGATTTGAGAAGATCTTTAAAGCAAAAGCAAGCAAGTCATAAAGGAGGCAGAAATCAAGAATGCTTGGAAATAAAATGATTGCCACAATGAAAACCAAGGAAAAAAACAAAATGTGAGGGGAGTAGGAACTACGAATACATATGCACTCACATACATGTGTTTAAAAAGTATTTAATGAAAGAATAAGTCAACAAGAATGTTTATCTATTAGGTACACAGAAGAAGAAAGGCAAGGAAGGAAGCTATACTCCTCTCGATCTACCTTGATTTTTCACTTTACCTTCAGCACCATGGAAATACATTAAAAAAAAAAATAAAGCAAATTGAAAAGAAAAAAAAATCCCTACCTACAAATAAAACATATGTGAATCCATTTATAAAGTTGGCAGCATAACTACACAGAGAAGGACAAAATCAAGTTTACACAGGGGACAGAGTGCACTTCTCTGGTGTTTTGTAAATTGAAAAAGAGATATATATATAATTAAAGTAGAAATATCTTCATCCTTCCTTTGAATTTGAAATAATTAGTTTGAAATCATGATTTATCTTCTTCTATGCAGAAAGTACACATTAACTTTACTGAAAAGACCTAGAAGGAGTCACATTCCAGTTATAATGAATGATCCTAAAACTATTTTCCCCCCAAAAGCAGAGATCCTTTTAGAAATAGATGATTCTATATATATCTGGGGTCAGAAAAAAAAAGACAAGCACAGGAATTCTTACTATGCCAGAAAGCAAGGAACCCATCAAAGATTATTAGGCTCATGTCAAAAGGATCCACAGTCAACCTGAGGAGTAAGGTCTATGAATGGCCAATATTGGGACAGTTTAAGCATCAAGTAGAAAAATTCTTCTGAAGATGTCAGAGGTGCGGGGGTGAGAGGATTCACCAGAGACTGAGTGGGGAGCAGAACAGGCAGATTGACTGAAATACACTGCTGAGGGGAGCAGCGGGCGAGACAGGAGAGGTCTGCTGCGCCATGTGGGTAACCTCCCTGGTTGGGGATCGAACTCCCTCTAGTAGCTGCAGATTGCTTCACAGTGCTGGGTCTTAACCCTTTGTGCCACAGGGGAGGCCCCCATGCATCAGTCTTAAAAACATTTTGCTACATAAAAGAAGCCAGGTCCAAGGTCATATATCGTATAATTCCACTAATATGAAATATCTAGAATAAGCAAATCCACTGAAACAGAAAGTAGTTTAATGGCTGCCTAGGGCAAGGGCAGATGGGAAGAATGAACAATGATGTCTAGAGGGAACAGGATTTCTTTTAGGAGTAATGAAAATGCTCTAAAATTTACCATGATAGGTTGTAGAGCTGTGAAAATATTAAAAACCAGAGAATTATATATAAATGGGAAAACTGTATGCGATGTAAGATACATTTCAATAAAACTGTTGTTAAAAAAAAAAAACAAACACATAAAGATAAACCACCCAGCAAATAATTCCCAATTAAGAGGGAAAAAATACAGGAAAAAATTGTCTCCACTCGAGTCCAAAAAAAAAAAAAGTAAATCTAAACATCTATCCTTGATAATGTTGAGAATTCACACAGGAAATTCTTTCAGATTAGTGAAGTTATTGTCTATGAAGTTCAAAGCCCAACCATTTCCATTTTTTTTTTTTTTTTTTTTTTGGTCAGTTCAGAATGGCACAAGCCATATTTAGAAATGCATGCTAGAAAAAAAATGCTTTGAAGAATTTTATTCTCAACATTCATGAATTTAAAATATCTATCCAGGCAAGAGAAAATGCCAGAAAGATTCACTGCTTTGTTCTCCCTCTTCTTAGGAATCTTTTCTGTTTTCTTTTGATTCCCCTTATGTGTTACCTTATTGAAAAGAGTAAGACAAATCCATGGATGCTGATTTGAAAAGATCTTATCTCTCCTCCTGCTCCCTGGCTGTTCTAAGCTGTCTCTCTGAACCACTCCACCTGGGATAGACCTGAAGTGCTGTGGTTCCTGAGCTCGATGCTGTGCCCTGTTTCTAAGATCAACACATTCTTCCTGGGAGGATTCCCAAACCCATCTCTCTAGCCCAGATCCTTCTCCTGCACTTCAGATTCCAAATATTCAATCGCCCACTGGGCAGGTTCCAAATTCAGTGTCCAAAACCACTCTTCCCAGCCTTCCAGCATTCCTTCCCTGTCCTGATCACTGGCATCATCATCTACCTATTCGAGGAAGCAGAAGCCTGGGAGTTATCCTCTCCTCCTCACTTTCCTTTACCTCCAAGTAATCATTTAGTCAAAGCCTTCCCGCCTTCCTAATATCTCCCAGTCTTTTCCCTCTACCTACAATGCCCTCTTGGTGTACTCTACTCCTGGAGGTCTGAGATGTCACCTCTTCTGGGGGCCACTTAACAGACTGGACTCCCAGCCTCTGTAACCAAAACACCCAGCTGTTAAACTCCACCTTAGCAGGATCTTTGCTATCGAGTAAAACACTGCATCACAGCTGCCGTACTGGCAGATCACTGAGCTCTTTCAAGGTATTCCAATGTGGGGCCTCCCTGGTGGTGCAGGCGGTTGAGCGCCACACTGTGACGCTGTCCCAGTCTCTGCAGTGCAGGTTTGATCCCAGCCAGCCGGCAAGAATCCCACATGGTGCGGCAGACCTCTCCTGTCTCGCCGGCTGCTCCCCTCAGCAGTGTATTTCAGTCAGTCTGCCTGTTCTATTCCCCACTCTGTCTTTGATGAATCCTCTCACCCTCCCGCACATCTGGCTTGCACCCTGGTTCTTGTATAAAATAAATAAATCTTTAAAAAAGAAAAAGATACTCCAGTGTGCAAGGCACACTAACTACTCAACAGATATCTGCTGAATTATTAGTTCATCCTCAGACTTACTTAGTGATCATCCACTAACACAGTTATTAAGAGCTACAAAATGAGGTTCTGCTTTAAAAGAAAAAGCCACCACCATGCCATGTTCACACAAGCACTCCTCAACAAAACAGCCATTCCCTAAGCGCCTACAACACATCAGGCACTATACCTGGAGTTTTAGATAATCTCATTTAATCCACACTAGAATCCTAAAATAAAAACTGACATTAACTAAATGGGCACTAAGTGCCACGGCACTGTGCTATGCACTTTACATGTGTGATCTACTGTATTCTCAAAATAACCCTGTAAGGCAGGTGAGGCATCTGAAGAGGTTAAGTGAGCCCTTCCAGTTCCTGCTACATGGCTAAGGTAGTAGTCACCCACAGAGACAGATGTGGGGCCTGGGAGTCTGCCTCCAGAGGCTGAACTCTCCTTCACGGCACTATTTCACCTCTGTTGAATATAGAGACCTTGACATTGGCTTTATCACTCTTAAAGTAATACTTAAAGTTGCAGGCCTCCTGAAACTGACAGGAAATGAGGTGGAGCAATGAAAGGAGCAACAATCTCTCTTTAGGTGAGCACACTCCTAC